GCAGGTGTTAAGGGAATTTTTCCTCAACAAGTTAGTATTGAGATAAGATTTCTTTATGTTATCAAGGTCGCAACACTTCCAATTTGTAATCCATGGAATGATGAGGTCCGTTTGTGTGCTTTGCTGCAGCTTAACCCCTTAAACTCTACGCTGACTTCCCATGCGGCAGGCGACGCGATCGCGCGGCGAGCACAGCACATTGCGATGACAACGTGCCCTAAAATTACATTGATAAGAGCGGTTTCTAGATAAGATCGATCTGTGCTGAAAAATAGGTGCGTGCGTACTTTTCCAATATTTTGTCATATTTATTTCTCCTACTTCTGAATTTTCTCTTTTTTTCATTTTGGTTAGGTACTTTTTCGGTTCAATTCGGTTAGCAGGGAACAAGTGAAACATTAACCCCTCTCACTGTATAAGAACTTTTCATAAGAGTGTTAATCATCGTTGGAAAGCTTAAATCTCTAGCTAGTGCGCTACATGGTCGTTTTTACAAAGATAGTCTTTTATAACGTTGCAAAATTGAAGATAAAATGATATTTTACTACCGCGCAACTCAACTATTACTTCGCTGGAAACGAAAAGCCATGGACGTGTTGAGAAAATCTTGTGGTATAAGAATCAAATAGCAAAATCTTTAACAAAAAAACTTTAGTAGCGTTTAATCTGGAAAATTTTCTTACGATGTGAAGAAGCAATTCCTATTTGAAAAACGAAAGTCGCTCTTTGCTATGGCCGCGGAAGGGCAAATTGATTGATGACCGTATTGAAACCTCTTGCATCTGCCCTGGCCCCAACCCTCACCCCGTAGAGTAGCCAAAATACCCATGTTCGCATATGGAATTTAACGTTATATTCCCTGCTGCACAGCAATGGACTTTCCAGAAAATAAGCACACAGTTGGAATTTTTGAATCTCACGCCATCGAATGATTACTAGTAGTCTTAAGAAAGAGCTCTTCTTGCGAGAAAAGGCCTGTGTGAAACAGATGTTTTCCTTTCGGCCAAAGCGTTATGTTGAGAACTTTTTCGAAAAATGGCTATGTAGGACACTAGTCTAAAATTTAAGCTGTAGAATGTTTACTAACACCTATGAAAAGTTCTTGTACAGCGAAAGGGGTCGTTTCTTCATTTGTTTCCTCCTAGCCGAAAAGAACCCTTTTCTCTTTAGGAATCATGAAACGCCGTAAATCTTACACTGCGGCTTTCAAGCTTGATGCGGTGAAGTACCGCGATGTGCATGGAACATTGGCGGCAGCCGTTAATTTTAATGTGACTGAAGGAATGATCAGAAAATGGGTTGCTGATAGGGAAAACCTCGAGCAAATGCCAGCAACGAAGAGAGCCCGACGTTACAAAAAACCAAGCAGTGAAGAAGTTGAAGATGACAACTACAACTCGGTTGTTCAGACAAGAGAGTATCCAAGTAAGTAAGAATAGAAACGATTATGATGAGGTAGAAATTGGAATTACAGCTTAAGTTATTGTTACTTTTGTCGTTGTGTGATGTTCAGGGCAAAAAACAATGAAGACTTGAAGAAATATTTCATTACCAAAAGGCACGTGTGTTTGTCCGTCCTTTTTTTTGCAAAAATTGAACCGCTCTTATCTATGGAGATTTGGGGGAGTAGCTTCCATTTCTGCGTGCTTAGAAAATCGTCACGCGCGACATTGTGAGCAACGCTACATATACGTGCCATATGGTACTCAAAGGGCTTAAGATGTGAAAGCTTATTCCTAATGAATGGATACGCATGAATTTGGCAATCCGTTGTATGTCACTGTGGTTCACCAGTCTTCTTTTCTCGTTATACGAACGGTGGTTAGTTCATAATATTCTCCTCTGAGTGTAGAAAACAAGGGGGTCTCGCAGGAAGGGATCAGAAACTTTAAAAATTCGGCCTTTCAAATTCAGCTTGTTAGAAGACTTGCTCGCCTTCATAGAGTGCCCGTGCAATGTAGGCAACTGATTTGATTTTTTTTATTTTTCTTTTATTTTGATTTAACAAAAACGTCAGTTCATATTGGGTTGGTAAGAAATTTCGCAGACTTTTTCATTTTTTTCATTAATTTTCGCGCATCTAAGTTTATGTTTTTACTGTCGTTCAAAGTAGCTTCTTGCGGTCATTCTGATATATAACACTTAGACATTTTCTCATAAGATGAATTGTCTCGAGAGCAAAAACCATTGTTGATGCTACACGAGTATCGTTTGGGTTTGAGTGCTGATGAGACTTTTCGCCGGATTGACAAAGCCTGGAGTAGGGAACATTGAGAACCCTGCATTTTTTGATCGTTTTAATGATTCTCAAGACTGGAAAGAAGATTTTACGCACAAACATGGAGTCGCCCGCCCATAAGAAAATTGGCCGGCAAGCTGTAATGAATGCAATTGAAACGTCTCCGTCGTTGACGACTCGCGCACTGCGCGACGACTTTGAGTGTAGTGTAGTGTCATGATCTCTGAGCAAATTAAATGCATGAAAAATAATCAACAAAAAAGAAGAAGCCCGGAAAATTTCTTGCCAACTCAATTTTTGTGGTGCTTAACACAGTGATGACAGCCTACTGAGCACAGAGGTCGTGGTCAAGAAATTAATTGATGGATTTGAAGCGCAAATGTGCTCTACGCTGCTCATGATCTTCGTTTGACTTCTTCTTTCTGTTCTTTTTCTGTATTTTCCAGCTTTCAAAAATACATGGAATACGTACTTCTCAATCTATGATTCATCTAGAACATTTGGGTATTCCTGAACTGGCATTTCTGGTTAGTTAATACTCAGTTGTATTCCCGATTTCCTCGTTCAGTTAAACATCGTCACCGCAGAAGCGGGACCGCGTGAATCGTTTTAGGTGCAAGAATGTTTACCCCGTTCGGACGATTACGAGGATTGGGACACTTAATAAACTGGAACTTCTATATGCTGTTGTAAGCACAACTGTGATGGTAGAATGGTCGTCCATAAATACGTCCATTGACAATTGCATCAAAATAGGAACCCTTGAAATGTAATTTTTTCAAGAGAAAATATAATTTTTTGTTCAGTGCAGGTTATTGTGGGCTTCTTCCTTTAGGAGCGTGATTTAAGCAGTCCTACAGTTTATGTTAATCAATTGTTAGACTTTGTCTCATCATGACTCATGTCTCATCAGTGCATCATGAGTCTAAAAGAAGTTCGTTCTAAAATTTTGTACTTTAACATGTAATAGGAAAAAGTAGAAGATGACCACTGTGTTCGCATCATTCCAATACCTCTCTCTCTCTGTCTCTCCTCTCTTTCTCTTAAAAGCTGTTTACTCTCTAGTGATGTTTAATTAGCTTCGAGAATTCATTTGCGTGCTACGAAGAACCTGTTCGGCACAAAGTTTGCCAACTTTATTGGCATCTGCTGTTCTTCCGCCAGAAGCCAGACATTCACTAATGCGTTCTTCGCTATGAATCTCGTTTGTACGACTAGAATTATTCATTCAACAGTGATTAAATTCAACTTTCATCCGCATGAGTTGAGCTTTTAATGATTCACAGGTCCACCAATGACTTTTTTTTCTGAAAAAAAGCAGTTTCCATAGAAGGCAGTGCTCGGCTGGTTCAGGTTATCTTAAGCACGTCGAACTGTGAATCATCAGTTGTAGACGTTGTAGAATCAAATTTGGTAACAGAAACTATGCTTTGTGCAAAAAAGGAGTGTAAGGGGAATAACGTTGAAGCGGGGAGAGAAATTCTCATCTAAAGCGAGGATCATGTGCACAGCGAAGATAGAAAATGTTAGAAACGTTGACCGTTAAAGTCTCCTCGGCTATGATGGAAATAATTCCGTCAGTTATATGGCCTGACAGTTTCTGCCCTTATGGATCAGAACATTATTTTTTGCTCTGGACTAAGTCTTCCAGGACGGCAATGATTCCTGCGATTTATAGTTAGCGCGAACGAGAAAAGTAGTAGTCGTATCGAAGTTTTCTATTGTATTTCTCAAAGCACTTTGATGTTAGAATCGCATCTTCTTTTACTGTTTATTTGCACAGTTTTTGCAAGTACAGATGTGTGGTGGCCGTTGTGCGAATTTCTATGCATCATTTCTAAATCAGTTGGTTGGCTTTTAGTGATTTTAAGCGTGTATCCCATGTCATTCTGAAAGGCGTGCAAAATAGGGTTGAATGAGGTTTTCACTTTCTATGTCAGTGTTTCCAATAACAATGTCTTCTCACATATATATGAATAAAGCGCACTCATTTTAATTTGTCATTACTTCGATACTCTGCTCTTGACAAAACATATATTGACTACATTTTCTTGGAATCGAAAAAAAAAAAACTAAACTAGACGAAGGAGTTGGTCGGGTGTTTCGCGCAATGTTAGGGCAGTGTCTACGTTCATAAGGCATGTTTTTCTGTTGCCACACTGTTCATAAATCGAAATTCCACTTCTCCACCGTAATCGATGCTGGTGTCTTTGAACTAGTAAGCAAATTGTTTTTTTTTTTCTGTCTTTTGCATCGATACTTGAAGCGCTGCTACTTAGCCGCAAGACAGTGAGTTCAGTCTTTTGGACCTAGCATCAATTTGTTGTAACTAAAAATAATCAAGTTGAAAAAATTTTTAACAGCTGTACGTAATTTGTCCAATAGCAGATATAGATGTATATTCTTTAATCAAAAAACAAACGGTTTTTTTTATCTATTGCCATTTGGGTGAATGTGGTGGTATCTACTTGAATTTTTTTTTTACTTTTTGGCTATCCTATCAGAGACTATACTCCTAATGAGTCGGAATAAAATGTGAATCTAAGGTGTTTTTCACTGGCTCGGAGGGAAAGAGCGGCGGAAAAGTTGCTTACAACTATTCGGTTAGAGGATTGCAGTAATGTGACGGGCTAGCTCAGAGTGATAACCGGTAGGGGTGTTATATGAGAAGTACTCTAACCATGGCATTCATTGGTATGCCGAACAGCTCTCATAATACCAAATTGTAACTGAAAATTTTACATTTTACGGCAGAACAACAGCGTCGGTAGTGCAATTAGTGAGCACTCGCCCTCAGAAAGGATTAATCACGGGTTCGATTCCCGTCTGATGTACAAAGTTCCAAAAGCTTTATAATAACTTTTCTAGTTGATTATTCATATATCCAGTATCTGTCAACGTACTGGGATCGATGCCGATATCTGCTGGCGAGGCCAGACCGTGAACGGTTGGTGGGTGATAGATTGAAGTGTTCTAACGAAGAATGAGTGGTAACAGAACAGGAGCGTCGGTAGTGCGATTGGTTAGCGTGCACCTCGGGAAGGGTGAAGTGGATTTGATTTTCGTCCGACGCTCAAGGTTTTACATATCTCTCAGCATTATTACAAATTATGATTATTTTTCGAAACGGATGAGTAAAGGAGTTAGTTATTTACAAATGTCTTCAGCAAGTCAAAAATATTGCTTCTTTGAATTATCACAAATCCAGCATTGGTGGTAGTTAGGATGCTGACCAACACGGCTATCAACAACTTTCATTGTCTACAATCTAATGTCAAGCCTCGGCATCAGAGCGCTCTAAGTATTTTACATGAATCCAAAGAAGATATGCGGAGAAGTTCACACTTTCTAGAAAAATTTAAGGTTTATGGCAGCTGTCGGAATTTGATTGCATAAAATGCTAACCTCTTGATGCTGATGAACGAACATGGGGACTACTTCTCGTTATGGTGTGAACATTATAGCAAACCTTTCCACCAATCTTTTACCTTCACAATCTCCATTCTTGTTCCACCAAGATGCCCACTGGATGAATATCGCTCCGGATTCTTTCCTCTAAAGTTCAAATTGTCATGGAAAGCTCAGAAACACTCTGCTCCAGAGTCAGATAATATCAAATATACCAGGGGCCGAAAACCAACCTATTCCTCTCTTCATTTATTCGTATCGTTGATCACAAAAGTATGTTGGAACGATTGTCGGGTACACCCACGTTAGCTCCTTATACCCTAGTCTGTATCGGCTATGAAAACGCTTTTCACAGTGTAAAAAGATTGGTGATAATTTCTAGTCAAATTCAGATTTGAATCTTTGCCTTGCTAACAGTATCGTCTTTTTCGAGGAATATAAGTAAAGGGATGGTGCGTAATGGATCTAATGAACCTGGAGAAATGGGATGTGTACAATTGAGAAGCGAATTTAGTTTATGGTAGACCCATATTCGGAAGTATACAAATTGAACTGGAGGATTTCGTAGTCACAAATGGCACCCTGTGCCTGTTTATTAGGCGTTCAAAATGTAAATTCAAGGTTTTGTGATAACACAGACGTAAACCAGGGCTTTCAATGACCATTCAAAACAGCACATAAATCGAGTATTATGTAGGATTGAATAAGCATCATTTATGATTTTCATAAAAGCCGGCGGAGGAATAGGATACTCAAAACTAAGCACGCGACTTCTCTTATCAGTAGTCCTCCCAGCACTGGGTTGTCTGCAAGAACATGCGTTCCAACTTCAACCGTATCAACATTGTGCGCATCATTTACAGAGCGCTTGAACAATGCTTTCATGATGTAACTTTACATGCGCCGCCTATAGCTGGAATGCGCAATCCAGATCTCCCCAACCTTGCTCATCTCAAAGATCGAAGGGAATACTCATCTATACAAAAATATGGATGTGTAAGTCATGTAACATGAAGAGCAGATGACAAACTGAGAAAAGCGATCTACGCAATGAATCAGGTGTGTTTTTTTGTTTGTCAGTGGGCCACATTCGCAATGCATTAGTTTATTGTCACGAACGAACTTCTGAATCATCACCATGGTTGGGCAGTAGGTTAACATGATCGTACTGGGGTATTTAGTTGGAGAATGCGTTAGGATGCGCAACAGGTAAATTTGAGGCGTTTAAAGAACCTATTTAGCCAACCATTAGGAAATTCCCACCACACAACGTTGATGACAAACTTCAAAAGTACAATACCCTCATGGTAATTAAAAAAGCCTCAGTTCCGAAAATTGCTAAATGAGCTTATTCTCGGGAAGCTCTCGAGATCATACACCAAAATCGAAGGGCATGACTTGCGAGCAATCACAAACCTTTTTGCAAACTAGGAAGCTATGTAACGATATGATATAGGAATGTCACTGGCAAATCATTGCACTGGTATTGACTGAGGTTGCGCTGATTACAAAGTACATCCTCAACATCTGTCGATACTTCGTTAATAATGGGGTCAAGATGGTCGCGCTGCGGTTATCTTTATGTGTGGTTTCCTAGGAGATGTAGAATCTATACGTCTGCTTCGTGAGTTTTCGATGTCCAATTTTTTGTTCCCTTTCTAATTTTGGGAATACGAAATCTCATTGATGAGTAAAATATTCCGAACCCAAAACCATTTTTGATCTGAGCTGTAAAAATATCGTGATGTCTTGTATAGATACGATAAGGACGCGAATCGGATGCTATTGCGGCTTGTCACGCCACACGTTGCCCAAAGCTTTCCGCTCGGCGCCCTGCTTTGGATTGTGTTCTTGATTTTTTACAAGGTCTTACAAGTATAGAATAATATATCACTAGCTAGCAAACGAGTCTGGTATCATCCTTCGGATTGGGTTTGCCGCGTTCCTCGAGTCAGTGTTGGTTGGTTGTTTGCTTACCATAGTGCAAAATTTCCTCCTAGTTTGATGTTCCGCTTGCTTATAATAAAGTATGAGAAACGTAGCCTTAGAAAGATTTTCAAAGAGAAGAGAGAAAAATTTCAGCATGGCAGAATGTCGTGACTAAAACTTGTTGATCGGTCATAATGTTTCTCATATTTCAACATGAGATCTTTGCGCCTTGCCCAGTATTAGTCCTCTAACATTGTGACATCTTCAAACATTCCTCACTATCTGATCTTGTCATCCTATAATCAGCTGATTCACAGGTGATTTTCTATCACAGGGTTGGACTGATAGGTAATCTTCATATTTATGGATACCTTTTAGATGTTTATCAACAATCTATTTGTGACCTTTTTTGTGGGTTTGTGAGGGAATGGAAGTGTAGAACGGAGAGCATAAGATGAACTTTTTGCGGAGGGCTTCTAAACAAGTGTTGTTCAAAGTGGAATTATCGGCAAAGTTTATTAAAGGCCAAAATTTTTTCTTGCTACTTTTCTACGATGTCGTTATAACTGTTTACTGTCTTCTTGCTTCTTCTCTTGGGTTTGAACACTTTGAGGAGGGTGGACTATAATCTTGGTGATCATCTTATTTCTATAAAATTCTGCCTAATCTAGAATATTGAGTCATGTCTTCACTCATTTGTCTTTGCTTCTATGTAGTTCCGAAGTACGATTGGTGTTCTCATTGAAAACCTGTTCTGATGTTTACACTTTCGATGTTGGACATTTATTTCCTCACTCACTCATGTTAATTGATCGTAGCTGTGGCAATTACAAAGCAAAATAAATGATAATAAGATGATTTTTGAAGAGAAATTCAAGGGCAAACGTTCTAACCATATGAGATATCCCATTATGGTGTAAGCTTTCTTTTCATGTTTTTGTTTTGTCAGTCTGTCTTGGACATAATCAATACCTATGGGATTTTGTTTGCTTTTCCACGCCTATCACCAACCGATTTTTTGTCCAGTCTATCATCTTCTGTAGTGTATGGTCGGACTCTGTTCACATTCTGTTCATCGCTCTAAGGCGAGTAGGGAAGCTGACTGCTATTGTCTTCGAGATTCGAGTTATCTTTCCTGATATACAAGTCATAAAAAAATTGCTGCTCGTTAAGTGAAAGCAACGAAGAAGAACAACGAATAGCTATCTTTGTTGTCATCAGAATCACATCATACCTATCTCATTTATTTGGCGATTATAAGACAATTCAGCGAGGGAATGTGCTCAGGTTAATGAACTGTGATTTGTGGAGATGTTAAACTGTTCAATAATGTTTGCTGAAAAATGACAATTATTTGGATGGTGAATACACCAAAGCTAAGTGCAAAAATAGCAGCAGATTTGTACTACTTATTACGTCAAACATGTACTACATATTTTGAGTTAATAGTGGATGCTACTCAATTTCTAGTGGTGTCATTCCCGTATTAGGTAGAAATGATAAAGTCATTGCGCAAAGACTTGTCATTTTGTCCTGAACTGTGGAACAAGACTGGTTTTCCTCCAACTTTTGTGGGTGCACAAACAATGAAAGTTTTTGTTCTGTTTATACGATGTGAATGGCTTCTAGAAGTTCCTTACGTTACTTAGAAAGTTTATGCGATTGATTATGACCAGCTGTGAAAAGGGCATTGTGTTAGAGTATATAAAATAGACAAGCTTTAACTCAACTCATCAGCAACAAAGTGGCTTTGTGTTGGAACCGTCGCCTTTACTTGATGGATTTTTGTTCACAAACCTTTTTTGCTGATATTCCTGTAATCAACTAGTAGTTCAAGAAATGTAGATACTGAGACATGCATTCTTCATGGAAATATGCCTTCTTAGTAGTTTCCACTTGTTAATTTGAAGCCGTACTTTGTTCATTTTATTCATCTTGTTCTTTTTGGTCATAAGGTCACTTGCAAATAGTTGAGTAATGAAAAACTTAGAGGACACCTTTTTCTGAACTAAGTAGGGTACTATCTCTACATTTTACTACCTTGCGATTGACCAAAAAACTTTATAGAGGATTTTATTTTTTTTCTCTAAATGCTGTAATATATCATCACCACAACCACGAGTGATTTATTTCCAATCAGGATCTCGTGCGGGGTATATATATATATACATATATATATATATTATATATATATATGTATATATATATGTACAAGTACATTTTTCTTTTCTTCATTCTTTCTTCTCGTTTTTCTCCGTGGTTTAGAAAACTTCAACTTCCCTCTTAATCTATTACTGCTTCTTGATTATCTTTACACACTCATGTGTTTTTGGTGCATGGGTGGCACTTATGTACCATCCGAATGTGACAAGTAAACTGAGAGAGACTCAAATGTCAAAAGCTTGCTTTGAAATAATTATGATGAAGACAATAGAAAATGTTATTTGAAGTAGTGAAGTTTATATCAGCCTCACTACATCATATAGCGCTCTCTGTG